GGAAAATGATTCATTATGGCTGGCTAATGCAACACTGCCAGCGATTCTAGGGGAAATTACATGACATTCCACATCCTAATGCAATGAATTCTGTGATACTAAACTACGGATTAGTAATTATTTATGCCAGTACAGGAAATACATCCTATGGTAATAAGGATTAGTAAATGAGTATTAAATGATCATACGCCTAATACAGGAAATACATCCTATAATAATGCTAGGGATGCATTAATCTTTTAGCATGTAATCCCCCATTTCTGTGCACGTTAATTTGACTCCCTTCACATAAGAAACACAGTTTCACTAAGATCCATAGGACACTAGTTCTTGTTATCAGTTTAATCCATTGTCTCATTTTGTTTTCCACTTTTTCTCAAAAACTAGTGGTCCTTCACAGCTATCGAATTATTTTATTTTAATTACAAAATCTTGGAGTCATATTTTCCCACAATGGTTATGTTGGTTGCAGTTAATTTACATATTATCTTATATATAAGTTTCATATACGAATATTGTGTTACTTTACTTGCTGTATGCTGTACTGTAATTAAACTTGTTCCCAGCGTAGTCTAATTACAGTTATTCATTAACTACAGGTTATATATTAGCATTTAGTTCAGTTATTTCACTTATAATGTTACTTTATATTTACATCCTACAATTATTTTATTTTTACTAATATTAAGTAGATTTTACTTTTACTTATGTTGAGGAAATTTTACTTTGCTTATATTAATTTAGTAATTAATTAAATAGAATATTTAGCCCAGTGTCAGTGTCAGTCACGCTGCCCAAAATACCAAAACACTGACGAATTGTAAGGTCCAACTTGCAAAAATCCTCAGGACAATTGGGGGGGGGGGGAGAGGACTTTTGACAAGCCGCCAGTTTCCTGTCCTTGTCGAGGCCACTAGAGTGCTAGTGGCCCTCAGGTAAATGGTCTAGCTTTCACCCAAATTCTGAAGCACCTTCTTTTGGGTTGTTTGTGAAACAATCGATGATGGAATATGTATTGTTTGCTCATTAGTGTTGTAAACTTTTTACGAAGCAAATAACTTTTCTGTTTACCATTTATTATAAGGCGTCGCATGTTGAGCATACGATACTCTTCAAATGGCAACGAACTACACTCATAATATGACCAGACATTTGCCATATATTTTGACTGTCTCTCTTGTAATAAACATACTATTATGTACTGAATATTAAGGTTTAATTAGGTCTTGATGCCATTATTTGTATAAAGTATATCAACTATTCTCGCAAATGTAAATATTTGCAAACCACTTTAACTCGCAAAAATAAAGTTTTGTGTTGCTGTGGATTAAGGTGCAAGAGGTTCACCCCCACGTTCATAAACAAAGGTCAAAATCCATTCCATGCACCCGCCAAACCCCAGCTGTTTATGAGTGAAAAAAGAGGTTTACACACGACTCAACTGATGACGTCCAAAAACTTCGGATCAAGTGCTTCGCTGACGACTTTTGTTGGAACCACAATGCAACCCGTCCTCAGACAAAGTCCATTTCGAGTGAGTTGGGTGGCAACCACTGGCCGGGTCGGACGCTCCTGAGGTCTCTCCGCTCCTGGCTAGTGTTTACATTGGACGATTGCTGGTTGCCCTGCCTGGTGGTGGTTTGCCACTGACAGGGTGGCGTTTGGAGTTGCCATGGGGGACTTCTCGCCCCCCAGTGAAGAGGACATTGTCGGTTGGTCTGGCATTTACGGTGCCGGTGGTCCATCTGTTGGTTGGTGTCGCCCTGGTGGACGTGCTCCATGCGCAGCTGTCGGCCTTAGTGGGCATCCAGCTGCTTCAGGGCCACCGTGCTGTGGTCAAGCTCCGCCACCAGGCTGCCTTTCAGATGTTTCTCAGGCGGTGTGTGGGGCGTGTTTACCCTCTCCCCCGATACCGCCGGTTCTGTTAAGGTGGTGAATCTTAGTGTCACCTTGACCCAAGTGGCGGTGCATGGTGCCCCCCCTTCAAATTTCAGGACGATCTTTTAAACTCCTGTTTTGAATGGTTTAGGACCGTGTTAAGTGTTCGTTAGAACGAGGTCCTTGCCGGGCATTATGCTGGTGTGCGTGACAGCTCCTACACCCTAACGATGTCGCAGAAGTGTAGTGTTCTGTCGTCGATATCCGTGTTGGGTTACACACTCTGCTGCCTGCATCGGGGGCAACTGCCCCCCCTCCCTTCCCCCGTTATTGGTGTGGTCACAGAGGTCATCTGACTGCAGGGTGCAACGTGGGAGCAACTGCAGGGTGAACGTTTTTCGTGTGGAAGATTTTCCGCCCCTGTTGTGTTCGGACGGTACTGAGGATGGAGTGGGTACTGTTCCTGAGGCACCTGATTGCCTGTCTGCTGCTCCGCCTGTTGAGGCAGGTTCTACAGCATGTGTGACACTTTTGTTGACTGCCGTGGTCCCTAGGGGTTGAGCCGGTGTGTGGGGGTGTCAGGCCGTGGCCTACGCTGTGTGTAGTGGAGGATGTCCCAGTGGAGGTCCATGTCCCGTCCCCGCCTATGGATGTGGTCCACAGGCGGCTACTTGGGACGTGGGTTCTTCTGTTTTGGAAGGAGTGTTTCGGCCGGGGGAGGTGCTTGCCATGCCTGTGTGTCTTGACGACTGTCGATCTGATGCTTCCATCCCTTTGCAGAAGCGTGCACACCGGTGTTCTGAGGCTGTTTTCCTGGATGATGTGGACAGTGGGCGATGTGGCCTCTATGGACTCTTAGGACGGTGTGGGTGTGGACCATGTGGACGCAAAGATGGTGGCCGTGCCTGTGGAGGGGCCTGGTAGGAGTGGTGTGGCCTGTCTTGAAGCGATCGCAGTGGGCTCGGAGTGTCTTTTCCCCTTCGTGGTATGCCTTGGGAGGTGATGGGAAAGCTTGGTGCTCTGGCGTCCCCCGCCGTAGATGTCGGGGCTGTGAAGGGCTCAGAGTTGCTTCCTGAGCCCCCTCTCCCCCCCCCCTCCCTGCGCCTCCTGCTTTTGGATCCCTGCAGTGTGGGTTTCCCTGGATGATCGGGACCTCGTCGTGGTGCTGAGGAAAGATGTGCGCCAGGGGGCCTTGGCTCCTGTGCCCAGTAGTGGGGTCGATGCCGTGCCTGCATCCCCTGCAGTTCCCCCCCCCCCCTCCTTCGTTGCCCCAGTCAAGGGGGAAGCCATTTCGCGGCTGTCGGATAAGATGTCTTAGCCAAGGGTGCCGCCGGGTGTCCTTTGGCTCGACGATTTGTGAAGCGTACTGCTTGCACTTTCCGATACGGAAGTTCCCGGAAAAATATTAGTAGACATCATGCGCACAATGCAACTCCTTGGATCAGCTGACGCCAGAAACACAACATACCACCCTACAGTGTGACAAGTCTCCCTCTCACATCCCCCTCTGTTTTAGTCGCCGCTCCTCTACAGCACAACGCAACGGACTTTTGACACTTATCATCCTCAACATAAACGGTATCCCAATATCTGTACTCGTGCAGTCATCGGGAGGGTAAACCCTTCATGCAAACTGCGACTACTATGAAGAAGAAAAGTCCATTTCATCCAGCGGTCGACCCGAATGACGCATTCATAAATTTTAACATGCTGTTCATTCAAAATAAAACTTTCCTCAATTATAAGGTAATATTGTTAAATGTTAGCATCTTGTGTATATTTAGGCACTGGTTAGGTTAGATTTTTAGATTCTGTTGGCGATTATTTGTATTTGTAGTACGTGGGTGATGCATTTGTAAAAGTCGTCAGCGAAGCATTTGTTCCGGAAGTGTTCGGACGTCATCAGTTGTGAGTCGTAGGAGGTTTGGCAGGTACATGGAATAAACTTTATGCCTGTGTTTAGAGGACGGGCTGCACAACGCTGTATATGCTTCACTCACGTACTACAAATACAAATAATCGCCAAGAGAACCTAAACACCTAACCTTTCCTAACCACTGCCTAAATATGTACAGTATGCTAACATATAACAATATTAATTTACATTTCATAAAATTACTATTTTGAATGAATAGCATGATAAAATTGATGAATGCATCTTTGGGATCGACTGCTGGTTGGAATGGACTTGGTCTGCGGACGGTTTGATTACATTGCCAATTTACCCAAGGTAGCACTTTCACCAATGCAAGTCCCTACTGTTAGACTTACTCTCTGAAGGTTACACATTATTATATTTACCGTTGTTACACTAAGTTTATGATACAAGGTTAATATCACGATGTTAAAGTCAAAAGTTTAACCATGGATAAAAAAAAACCTTGTGATAATATTAACATTGTAAGTTAACAGTGCACTGTAACGTGTTGAATTAAAATTGCTTGAAGTTTAACATCGTGATATTAACCTTGTATCATGTATCATGAGATTTTGACTTATTAAGTACCCTTATTATACATTTAAATTTATGTAATCCAAAATTAAATTTATTCATAGTTAAATTTACTAATAAACTTTTATCGCCATAGTTTGTTTCTTTGAATCACTGTTACGAAAATTGGGGAGTATCTAGGATGTGATATTATTCTTATAAAGTAAATCAACTATTAAAAGACGTTTAGTTTGTTGATGTTGGGAGGGTGCGTTAGTGCTGGGACGTCACATCGTTTGTTTACAAAGCGAAATACCAATACATCAAATTATTATACGTTATATCGTTTATATGAAAGGTCAATAAGCTTTTAAGCACAACAGTAGAGCCATCTCCCATTTCCAATAATCTTCACATATTAATTTTATTCAGTTTTACAATATTTTCCTTTCGATAGCAGTGTGAATTATATAAACCGGTGTGTGGTGTTTTAACCAATTAAACTCGTCGTTACAAAACGCCTATTCATTTATAATCTAACCCAATACTACGACAACAACAAATGTAATGTTGCCATTTTGCACTTTCCAAGAAACTGAGGAGTAAACGAATAATTTTCCTCGACTCTACCAGACGAAGACAGGCTCTGGGAAACAAGGAAGAATACGGAGCAAAGAATACTCATTCTTACCTTCCTTGTACCAGACGAAGACAGGCTTCGGGTAGGCACGGAAGTCAACATGCCAAGCAATACTCGTGTTATTCTCGGTAATGTTCGGGTGATCAATCTTCATTTCCATGTGCGTAGAGTTCTTGGCTGAAGAAGGAAATGATCAGTATGAACAATAATATGTGACTTATGAGAGGGAGTAACCTTCAGCATCACTGGAACACACAGCCTGGCCAAATATCAATGTTCTAGGGGAGTGAAAGGTTAGCAAAAAATATTCCAGTTTACTGGCATTAATATAAATCCACATAACATTAAAAAATATACCATCTACTACCTCGCACACAATTACTTTATCTGTACACAGTACCGTGACCACTGCACCAATGATCGTCTATAAGGATTGGTCAGTCTTGGTGCTTATTAACTAAGCTCCCTGACTGACCAACCCCCGACGACACTCATGGATCCATTTGGGTACAGTTTTTCATCAAATTCTGCCGCATGCACGGGCCGCACTGAGTCTAACATGTGTGAGAAAGCTGCATGAACGCGCAAGCCATATATCACTAAGAACTCTGACCCGGCCAGGATTCGAACCCATACCGTCCAGGATCACCCCTAAACGTACACTACCAGAATTTGCGCCAGAATTTGATGAAAAACTGTACCCAAATGGATCCATGAGTGTCGTCGGGGGTTGGTCAGTCAGGGAGCTTAGTTAATAAGCTCCAAGACTGACCAATCCTTATAGACGATCATTGGTGCGGTGGTCACGGTACTGTGTACGTTTAGGGGTGATCCTGGACGGCATGGGTTCGAATCCTGGCCGGGTCAGAGTTCTTAGTGATATATGGCTTGCGCGTTCATGCAGCTTTCTCAGATAATAAATATATATATATTATACACACATACAGACATATGTTGTACCTAGTAGCCAGAATGCAGTACTCGGCCTACTATGCAAGGCCCGATTTGCCTAATAGGCGGAGTTTTTCTGAATTTATATATTTTTCCTAATTTTTTTCTCTTGAAATGATAAAGCTATTCATTTCATTATGCATGATTTTATTTTTTTAAATTTGAGTTAAAATTAACGAAGATATATGACAGAACCTAACCAACCCTAACCTAACCAACCCTAACCTAACCAACCCTAACCTAACCAACCCTAACCTAACCTAACCAACCCTAACCTAACCTAACCTAACCTAACCAACCCTAACCTAACCTAACCAACCCTAACCTAACCAACCTAACCTAACCCCCTAACCTAACCTAACCAACCCTAACCTAACCAACCCTAACCTAACCTAACCTAACCAACCCTAACCTAACCTAACCAACCCTAACCTAACCAACCCTAACCTAACCTAACCAACCCTAACCTAACCTAACCAACCCTAACCAACCCTAACCTAACCTAACCAACCCTAACCTAAGCTAACCAACCCTAACCTAACCAACCCTAACCTAACCAACCCTAACCTAACCAACCCTAACCTAACCTAACCTAACCAACCCTAACCTAACCAACCCTAACCTAACCAACCCTAACCTAACCTAACCTAACCAACCCTAACCTAACCTCTCTTAAGCTAAACTCAACTAACATAACTCAGTCAATATAATAAAATATTAGTAATTCAAATAAAACAATTTGAAACATTTTGTTGGAAATAAAGAAAATCACTTGGCTTATTAGGCAAATCGGGCCTTGCATAATAGGCCAAGAAGTGTGTTCTGGCTACCAGGTACGATATATATATATATATATATATATATATATATATATATATATATATATATATATATATATATATATATATATATATATATATATATATATATATATATATATATATATATATATATATATATATATATATATATATATGGAAGGAGGCCTCAAGTGGAGGGTGGGGGGTGGGGGGAGTGAAGGGGGGCTCACAAACCTGCTGGTATTCCATAGACTTATAAGTGAATGTGTGCGTCTTTTCAGATGAACGGTGAGTTTGTAGTGATAAACATAATGCACCTGTGAAACTTTGTGTTAATTGTGTGTGGCCGCTGCCTGTGGCGGGACCCCTTCTCCCCCTCCCTAGCCTCCCTCAGGCCTCACCAGCCCACCCAGCAACCCACTCCCGGCGGCTGACCCGACGACCATCGTCCACCCACGCCCACTGTCGACCAACGCCCACCATCACCCAACGGCCACCGTTACCCTACGCACACTGGCACCCCACGCAACCCTACGCCCACCGCCACCCCACGCCCACCGTCAGCCCACGCCCACACACGTCACACGCCCTACGGCTCCCTCACCAGGAAAGGGTGGAAGGACACGTGTGGTGGGGTCAAGAGAGGGGCTCACCAGTGTGCTAATAAGTGCTTGAAAAAGATAAGTCGAGTCCAGTCCTGTGGTGACTGGACCATTGTGAGTATCGTGTTGAGAGCACCACACCCAGTGAGCCAGGACACATTCACTAGTGTTTAGTGACAAAAGGAAATTATCCAAGTGTTACGTGCCACCCCAACCCTCCCCCCACCCCCTGAGTGTAGTGCCTCCCCCCTCCCCTGGGGGAAGGCACTACACTCAGGCACATGTAGTGTTTGTGGGAGCAACTTCAGCATCAACTCCAGAGTCATACGCCAGCATGGCGACTGTCCTGGGTCAGGGAGGCCTCCCGTGGAAGGAGGCAGCACTCAGGAGCCTGTTGCACCAGTACAAATCGCAACAGACGACCTGCTAGAGGCAATTAAAGCAACGTCAACCAGGACACTCACCCACATCCCAAAGGCCCATTTGCTGCCGGGAAATACACGGACCTCATCGCAAAAGTCAGAGGGTCAAATAACCTTGATGCACCTGATACCATCAAAGCCTGGCACAATCTGCTACTTTTTGGCAATGCATGCTTAGGTGTACCAGACAGAGGAGGCAAGACACTGGCCTCATCCGTCAATAAAGCAATTAGGGATTTTCCGAGGGCTGACAACCTAGTCCGCCTCCCCAAACACACCAAACACCGCCGAGGCAGACCAAGTACGACAATCGGCGACAACAGAAAATTAGGTACCCAAGTCAGCAAGAAAATTGAAGAGGGCAATACAGTCGGGGCACTCAGGTTGATCACAAGTGAGGACAAAATTTTGCCCAGGGATGAAACCACAGCCCAAGCACTGAGAGAAAAACACCCCCTCAGGGCCGTAGGTGGACCTCCCCCACAGGTCAGGCTCGCCCCTAACCAGGAACCTCTCGTCCTCCGGGAGTCAGAGGTTTATAAAGCTATCGTTTCATTTCCCCCGGGCTCCTCAGGAGGCTACACAGGGGTAAGACCTCAACATGTGAAGGAAATGGTGAACCCTGTTCTTGGCCCAGCTGCAGAAGCGCTCCTGACAGAAATCACAACGTTTGTCAACAACTGCCTCGCCGGGGTAATCCCTGATGAAATCAAACCATTCCGTTTGTGTCAACAGGCTACAGCAAAGACTCAACCCTCCACATGTTTGTCATATGACTTCATGTGGCAAACATGAAGTCACCTCAGCAGAGGGAATTCAACAGGGAGACCTACTTGCACCCTTCCTCTTTTGCATAGCGGTTCGAGAAATTACAACCAGACTGTCCAGTGAGCTCAACATCTGGTTCCTGGATGATGGCACTCTGGCAGGCACACAAGATTCTCTGCTGGAAGACCTACAGCTGGTGAAGACACGGGGGGAGTCCATGGGTCTCGTTCTTAACCCCTCCAAGTGCGAAATTATTGCATCCAGTGACGTAATTATTAGAGCAGTGAAATCAGTTTTACCAGAAGCCTCAGTCATTAAACCCACCGACAGCACACTACTTGGAGCACCTCTGGGCCACAATACCATTGCTGCAGTCCTTTACGAAAAGTTTAGAGACCTAAAGAGGATGGAAGCGAGAATAGGGGACTTGGACTCCTATGATGCCCTCTATCTTCTCACAAAGTGCCTTACCTTGCCCAGGCTAACATACTTCTTAAGGTTTTAAGAAATATGTTTACTTTTGGCAACCCACTTCTAAATCAATATGATGAGCTCCTCAGGTCAATATTCAGGAAGGCGCTCAACCTAGATTTAGATGACAGTCAGTGGGACCAAGCAACACTACCAGTGAGATTTGCGGGGATAGGCATACGAAAGGCAACTGAGGTAGCACTTCCAGCATTTTTATCTGCATGTACAGCAGCCAATGAATTGGTAGGGCAGATCCTACCAGAGCGTATGAGGGAGACAGCAGGAACTCATGATCAAACGTTCATCGAAGCAGCCAGACAATGGGACACCATTGTACACCCTCAACCCCGACCATAAGTCCCAAAAGACCACAAGCAGGCCCACTGGGATAGCCCCATAATGGAAAAGACTGTCACAGCAATGATTGACAACACTGATGCTGAAAACAAAGCCCGCCTCCTAGCGGTAACAGCACCCCACGCCGAGGATTTTTTATTTGCTGTGCCCAATGCAGCCCTGGGAACTCGCCTCAGTCATGACGCTCTCCGCATTGGAGTTGCCCTTCGCCTTGCCGTCCCCATCCTCACCGAACATAGGTGCATCTGCGGAGCTACGATGGCAGACCAATATGGTCGTCATGGTCTGGTATGTCGTAAATCACAAGGTAAGATTGCAAGACATGAAGAGGTCAACGACATCACCAAGAAGAGCCTCGCCACAGCCCGGCACAAAGAGAACCACACTTATCCAGACCTAACGACCCTCAGAAGCACCCAGATGGGGTTCCCTGGCTTCCTTGGAAGGATGGTAAGCAAGTGGTGTGGGACTACACGTGTGCAGAAAATTATTAAATACAGAGGTCTGGCACGCTGCTACAGCTTGTTCCGATCGGCTCTGAGACCTTCGGTTCGTGGGGAAACTGTGCATTGAAGTTCCTAAAGGAATTGGGGGACAAATTGATCAGCGCTACAAAAGATCAGAGAGCAAAAAGTTTCTTGTTCCCGCACCTCAGTGTTGCGATTCAGAAGGAAAATGCCGGTTGCGTCATGGGCACTAGTCCAACTTCAGAGGAATTCGAAGAAGTGTTTGACTTGCAACAATGATCGAACCCGTCTGACATTCATCAATGTTCCCATTGTCAAGTTTTTCAAGAGATCCATAAC